ATCGGGCCGCGGTTCTGTCCCATGCCCATGCCGGGCGGCGGCGAGCGGAAATCGTGGTTGGGACCGCCGCGTCCTCCACCGCCGCCACGCCGGTGAAAGCCGCCGCCACCGCCGCCACGGCTACGGAACCGATCCCGCGACATGGTGTATCGGAGGGAGGAGGCGGAGATGAGAAGAGAGCTCCGGCCGCGGCGGCTGCTACTGCTCAGCGCCCGCTGCGCAAAATGGCGGTGAGCTGGACGGCCTCGCCGCCGCCTTTGTCCGCCCGTAATATAGTACGCCCGCCCCCGGAAGCCCCCCTCCTCCCCACCAACCAACCACAGGCACCGGCGGCGGTGACTGACAAGCAAAGTGACCAATAGCGTGTCACAACTCCGTTAACTCTTTGATCTCATTGGTAACAAGCCTGCCCTCTGTCCATTGGCGCGTTTGACCGCCGACGTTGGCACGGGCCGGTCCGTTAACCCCCCGCGTGCTGATTGGGCAGTTTGAGCTGCGGGCGGCGCAGTCACGGCGGGAGCGCGGCTCGTGATTGGCTGGCTCGGCTGTCAGTCAGGCGGAGGCGCGGCCCGGGCCCGGCTGCGCGGCGCCTCAGGGCGCACTGAACCCTGGCTGCGGCTCGAAAAATGTCAAATAAACGTAGTTTCAATTGCAGTTCGCTGCTTTGAAACCCAATCTGAGATAGGAAATATCCGATTTATGCATTCAAGAGTGGTAGTGGAGCCCCGGCGCCAGCATGGGGAGTCACGTTCAGTGTTTTGTGTAAAAAGTCGGGCAGGGAAGCACTTAAAATGAGCCTGATTTAGGAACAGCGATCCGCAGTTACTTTCCAGACGCCCCAGGAAAGCAGGACAGAGCTTGGTGTGAACAAAAAGTGACGCCAGCTCCCCAAAATGTGCACGGTGCATTCTGAGGTGAAAAATAAAGCAGCTGTAGCAAGACCGTGATGGTTACAGTCCCGACATTGCATGTTCCATTACAGAAAACAGACCAGAAGCACATTCCAGCTCTTTAGTGTGCCTGCTTTCAGCAGTGCCATTTTTATACCTCCCCTTCAGCAGTGTTTCCGTCCATCCCCCTCTCAAGCTCCCAGGAACGTTTCACATTCAGTTTCAGGTCTGAAATTAAAAATATCAAACCCCGTGGGAACCCAAGGGAAAATCCCACGTTAATTTCACAGACCTGAACTGTGGCAGTGCTGTGGTAAAACATCATCAATTGCATGAATATTTCTGACATCCTGGGGAAGTCAAAGGTTTCATTCTTCATTGAATCACGGAATCACAGAGAACAATTACTTCCCGAAATCCCGTCCATCCCTACCCTCTGGCACTGGGAAGTCATTCCCCTTTTCCCTTGTAAATTGTCCCTCTCTCCATCTTTCCTGTCAGCTCCTTCAGGTACTGGAAAGAATTAGCTCTTCCCAAAGTCTTTTCTGCCAGCTGAACAATCCCAATTCTCCCAGCCTTTCCTTATAGGAGAGCAACAAAATAAATGTCTCTGTGGGTTTATATATTTTAAATTAAAAAGGAGCCACAGATTGATTCTGGCCGTGAATCAGTGTTTTACTGCCTGTGGGACTTCAGCCACTTCCAAGCACTGCAGCATGGAAACTCCAGGTTGTTTTAAAATGGATTCTGGCCCTGCTGCCAGCAGTGAGTGTTTCCACCACGAGGTGTCTCAGAGGTTAAATCACTGCAAGAACAAATTTGGGACTGGCTCTTATCACAAACGAACAACTGGCATCTCCTTGCTGTCACATCTGGTTCTGTCACTTCACAAAACAACATTGAGTGGAAAAGGGTTGAGTTTGCCTGTGTTGTGTCTTAAGTATAAATGAACTGTATTTTCAGGAGCTACTAATTTTTATCATTCTTCAAAAGAGATAAAGAGTGTAATTATTCTCCTAATTCTGCAAAAATCTGCAGAGCAAAGATCAGAACAGAAAAAGGGAGCTCAGATCTCTGCAGGACCCAAGGGGGGATTGATGGGGTGTCTGGGCAGGACCAGGAGTTGGACTGAATGATCCCTCTGGGTCTCTTCCAACTCAAGATATTCTGTGATCCTATGACTTTATGAAAAATCTATACAAGAATCTGTAGAATTTATCTAAAGTCTGCAAAGTGGATTTGAATTTCTCCAGATGCAGGGTAAGATCCATGTTTTGCAGCTGCAATATGAGTGTTTATCCTGGTCTTCAAATCAGAGGAAAACTGATGCCTGAGCAGGACTTGAAGTAAAAACAACCTCTGGTAACAGTGACCTGCTTTGTAAGTGTTCAGCTGGCTGGTTTTGTATAAAAACAGACACTGAGGAAAAAAGCTTGGGATGTTCTCCCCAGTATAAATAAATACATATAGTTCTGTTCCACTATAAATAAATATATCTGAGACTGGAAATGTTCTGTGACTCTTACCTGGGGTAAGAGTTGAAGAATTTCTCCATCCTAACATTGATCTTTTCATTGAGATGTTCAGTGCACACATACATTAGTTCAGTTTAATAGGAGCCATTGAGAGAAGCAAAAAAGGAAGAACTCCAGACCTCTCTCACTCTCAAAATATTAATCTATTTAAAAATAACACTGCTGTTACTAATTCTGAGGATTTTTCATATTGTACAACTGATCTAAAAATTGAATTAAGCCGTGGTAAGAAGCAGTCTGTGACTAATGAGGAAAAGACCTTAGAGGAATATGCCAGGGAATCAGGCTGCCACAGAGGTGCCCAAAGTTCTGAATGTCTCTGCTGCCACGAGCACAGGATAATCCTCAGGTAATCCCTGTGTGGAGCTCAGCAGGTGATTGATTCAGATACATTTTTCCCCCTAAACTGTTTCCTCTTGTTATAAACATAAACACAAGACTGGCAAGGAGAAATCTGAATTATGTCTGTATTATTAATTGCAGATTGGAGGAGGAAGGAGCAGCGTGTGTCCAAGTTGCTAATTAGGAATAATTACCCCATGAGGTTCTGTAAGTATCCCAAGTACAACAAACAGGAATCCCACTAACATCCCTTCCTACTGAAGGAGCAATTAAATGCTGTGAGGAGATGTCTGCTCTCCCTGGCCATTCCCTGGAAAATTTTGACCCAGAAGAAAACAGTTGAAGGGCTGTGTGCACAAATTCCAGTATGTCCCAGAACTAGAGGTGCTCAGGAATTTCAAGAATCAGGAAGCAAAGGGAGGAGTGGGAAGGGAGAGCAGAGCAGGGAGGCACTCAGAAGGTGCAGGGGAGAGTCCTTGCCCTGCTGCAGCCTCTCCTAAACAGAGTCTGTGGTGCACTGGGATAAAGCTGCCTGAAGAACAGGGATTCCTGCAGAACCTTTCATCATTCTGGGGCTCACCAGAGAGTCACAAAGGGACCTTTGATAGAATAAAGGAGGAAGCAAAATGCCAATAGCATCGCCTGGTATCTGAAGCTGAGGCAGGACAGAGTCTCTTCAGCTCACAGCAACTTTCCCTGGCACTCAGTGATGAGGGTTCTCCTCTCCCTGCAGGGCTGTTTTCACCTCTCCTTGAGCCTGGATTGAATCTGCCCTCCAAGAGGTTTTTCCTCCATACCATCACAAATATGCCTATAGGCTTAAAAACAGAGAGCTCTGAGGTTGGGAAGTTCTGTGACTTGATGAGATCACACAATCTGGATAAAGTGATCTTTCCTCCTCTTGCTGCCTGTGTCTCCTCTCTCAGCAGCAGCTGCTGTGCCAGTGGGTGATCCCAGAGTGATCCTTGGACAGCTGGGCATGCCAAGAACGGCTTCAGAGAGCTCCAAGAGCCTCCATTCCCAGTGATGTTAATTGGAGTTAAGGATGCTCAGTGCCTTGCAGGAACACTCAGCACAAAGCTGTCAATCCAGACATGTCCTTGAGCTGTGGACAGAAATGAGATAGACAGAACTAGAATTTATCCCACTGCCCTACAGTTAACAGTAAGCATGCCATCTATTAAAATAATTTAATCTTCTGTGGTTTCCTACTAGAAAGAATTTAATTTTGTATTTCTTTGATTGATAGAATTTAAAACTCTGTCACATTTTGTCACCTACTGGGCAGGGTCCTTTAGATGCAGCCCAGAAATCCAGGTGTGCCCTGGGCTCAGCAGCTGAGGGAGGGGATTGTCTCAGACTGCCTGGGAATGCTGCATCCAGTTCTGGTGCCCCAACATAAAGGGAACTTGGAACTGTTGGAGCAAGTCCAGAGAGATGTGAATTTAATAAAGGGCTGGAGCACTTTCCCCATGGAGACAGCCTGGGAGAGCTGGGGCTGTTCAGCTGGAGAAGAAAAGGTTGTTTGGAGACCCCACAGCATCTTCCAGGATCTGCAGGAGCCTCCAGGAAAGCTGGAGAGGAACTCTGCATCAGAAACTGGAGTGACAGGACAAGGAATGGCTTCCCACTGAGGAGGGGAAATTTAGGCTTGATAAATGGAAGAAATTCTCCCTTGTGAGGGTGGGGAAAGGGTGCCCAGGGAAGCTGTGGCTGCTCCATCCCTGGAAGTGTCCAAAGACAGGTTGGACTGGGCTTGGAGCACCCTGGGACAGTGGAAGGTGTCCCTGCCCATGGCAGGGGTGGAACTGGGTGGGTTTTAATGTCCCCTCCAACCCAAACCAGTGTGGGATTCTGTGACAATAAATATGTGGCAAGAATGGGATGTGTTACAGAGAATCCTGTGCTTCCCTCTCACAGAGCCAAGCAGGGAAACAGAGACAACAACTCTGCAAAATCCCAGCAGTTCTGAGCTGAGCCCTGGTTAATGTTTGGCTATGCATGGAATGTCAGTGGGGCAGAAGGGAGTAAACTCACAGGGCTGTATTTCATAAGGCTGCCATGACTTTCTCAAAAATCTCAAGACTGGCAATGTCTTCTCTATAATTATTTTTTAATATACTGCTATTTCCAAAAGACAAACACAAAAGATGAAAGAGAAAATCAAACCCTTTTTTTCTTCCTAACACAAAAATGGTGGCAATTTTAAAATAAACAATTTTATTCTGCCTTTGGAAAAAGTGATGTAGTCACAGCATGAATTCAGGATGATATTAAAAAGCAGCAACCAGAGTTTGTGAGTGGGCAGTAATTGCCAATAAAGATTCAAGACAACACAAATGGCTAAAGGACTGCAGAGGTTATTCATGTCACTCCTCAGTGACTCTCAGAAGACAAAGATAAAATTAATCCTGCTGTAGCAGCAGGCACTTGAAGAGACTTCCCAGGGGATGATGCTCTGACAACCTGACACCTATCCCAGACCTTGAGCACAATCACATTTTGCAAAAGTCTAACAGTTCCCTTTTTGAAAATTACTTTTGGCATCTTATTATGGCAAATAATAAGATCTAAACATCACGGTGACATGATGGCTAGCAGAGCTGCAAGCAATCTGGGATGTCTTGTGCAGGTTTTACTGATCTCACCCCATTTATTCTGGGGGTTCACAGGGTGAGCTTGGTGCCAGCATGAGCTCTCCCACTGCTGCTTGGGGTGGGAGTTTGGATTTTCTGCAGGGAGACAAGAGCAGCTAGAAAAACAAAATGAAGACCCAAAAGCTAAGAGAAAACTCACATTTCCTTTCTTCTTCTTCACCAACAGAATCTGCTATGAATCTGCCACAAAACTTCTTTTAACATAAACTGGATTTCCATTAGGAAAACTTTTCAATAAGTGTCCTGGTAGCACAAGAAAGGCATGAATACAGCTGGAAAATAGATAATGACTGTATAAGAAAAGAAGTGCAACAAAGAGAAATTTTCTGGTTGCTTTTATGGCAACCTCCACCCACCAGTCTGCTATGGATGAGATGCACCCATGTCCCAAGGGGGAGGTGGTCTACAGATAAATAATAAATTCAGTTTTCTGTCTGGGTTTTGTGCTTCTGCCATAGAATTTTTCCCAACAGATCACTCATTACAAAAAAAAAAAAAAAGCTTCAAAATTTGAAGCCTTTTTGCACTGAGAATTTTTAAGGCTCCAGAGTAAGAAAGATTCAGAGTCCCTGATGCAGAGCAGCATCAGCTGTTTGTAACACAGAATTAGCTATAAAAGTGCATCCCACATCTGCACATTGGTCACTGTCTGTTTAAATATTTAATGATGTGTGCAATTAAGTTCTTTCCTCCCTGTTGACTCTGTGACTTTAGAAATCCAAAGTATTTATCTTGATCCATGTTCTGGGCTTATTTTCACATTTGCACGCTGACAATGAAGCAAAACAATTTCTTTTTTATTTATAACCAGATTCACTTTGGGGAGCTGAGAGCTGCCATATTTGGTGTGCAAAAACTGCTGTCTGGCATGTTTGGAAACAAAAGCCTGTGTTATTGAGACTTAAAAAGAGGATGCAAAATAGATTTATAATTATTGTAATTAGAATAAAAGCATGATTGCACTGAACTTAAATCCTGGTCCAAATTTCATACACATGCACAAACCATCCAAACAGAAATTAACTTCCTAATTAATATTGGATCATTCCTATTATAAAAAAGGCACTATTAATTATTGATGATGCTTGTGCTTTTCCTGAGCTGTTTCCATCTTTTCCCCTCCAGCTCATGGAGTGCTGGGGGTAATGCAGCACGTACAAATAAATCACTCAGAGGTGTGGAAGTTACTCACACTCCTGCACGCAGGAGGATCTGCTCCTGGATGTTCTTATCAAACAGAATACAGAGGGGCATTTGTTTGTACGAGCAGAGCTAGAATATTCTCTTTAGAGTTCAGCTTCCTCCTTTCATCCCACCCACCACCAGACACTTCCTGACATTTCTCCTGCAGGCAGAGCAAGGCAACTGCTCCTTTTCTTTTTTTTTTTTCCTTTTTCAACGGCTGCTCCTTCAGTTATCTGTGGGTGGTGGGGGAAGGGGATGTTAACAGCAAACACAGCCAGAGCAAGTCTGGGAATGAGGGGGAGTTTCAGGATGGAAATAGGCCCCTGCCAGCCCTCCTGCGTCTGTGTCTCTATGACTAAGCGTTTGCTTTTTAAAACTTGCCTTTTCTCTTCCCTTGATCCTTGTGCTTTCCAAGCCTCCTGTTCCCCTTTGTCCTGGCAGCTCCAGGGAAACGCAGATCCCACCCAGCACGTGAGGGACAAACCAGAGCAGCCCCTGAGCTGGGACACAAACCCACATTTCCTGTCTGCTCTGGGCTCAAGGGGAGACACCACTGCAGGTTTTTATTCCTCTGAAATATTCCCTGTATTTTCTTACAGCATTACAGCCCTGCAGTATGAGAGCACCTAAATTTAAGAGGTGTCCACAGTTTTGTCCATCTCTGGGACACAAAAGGCCGCTGGCTGCTCATCTCCACATCCCTTTTCAGTCCATGACAGCAACAAGGACAAAGAAGTGCCCAAAGCACCACATGGTTACTGGTGAATGTGGTGGTGCTGCTGTGCTGATGGTTGGATTTGATGATCTTAGAGGTCTTTTCCAACCTTAACATTTCATGATTCTTTGTGGGTACAACATCTGCAACAGCTGTATTTTCCTCCACCCATCTCCCAAAGCTGTCCTATTTGGATGCTCACTGGAAAGAAAAGATTATTTATTATTATTAATTCATGTTTGGCCTGAAACACTCAGCAGGGCTGTTCCACCTGCAGCTGGAATTCTCTGGAGACCCTGTGCTGGAGCAGAGACAGGAATGCCCAACCCCAACCCATGGGGCTGGCAGGTTTTAGGGGTGCCCAGCCCCACTCTGCACAGCTGGCAGGTTTTAGAGGTGCCCAGCCCCTCTCTGCACAGCTGGCAGGTTTGGGGTGCCCAGCCCCACTCTGCACAGCTGGCAGGTTTGTAGGAATACCCAGCCCCACTCTGCACAGCTGGCAGGTTTTAGGGGTGCCCAGCCCCACTCTGCACAGCTGGCAAGTTTGTGGGAGTGCCAGGACCTACCCATGGGGCTGGCAGGTTTGTAGGAGTGCCCAGCCCCACTCTGCAGAGCTGGCAGGTTTTAGGGGTGCCCAGCCCCTCTCTGCACAGCTGGCAGGTTTGGGGTGCCCAGCCCCACTCTGCACAGCTGGCAGGTTTTAGGAGTGCCCAGCCCCACTCTGCACAGCTGGCAGGTTTTAGGAGTGCCCAGCCCCACTCTGCACAGCTGGCAGGTTTTCTGGGTGATCTGTATTCAGCTGTGCATGCCCCTGGGGATGTGCAGAGATCATTCATCCAGTTCACTGAACTGCAGCCTGCATGTGGAGGGGGTTTTGTGGTTCCTTTTTAAATGTCACTGGTTTAAAGAGGAATAGTCTCACTCAGGGTTGTGCAGCAGATTGGAATATGGGCACTCCAGGGGTGAATTAAAAAGCAATTCAAAAACAATAGTGTGGAACAATCTTATCTTTCCCCTGCCTTATCCAGGCATTTATCTTGCTCTGTTCTGAGGAGTCATCACCACATTATCCACATATTCTGCAGTGTCTCTTTTAGCCATGTTAGTGCACAGACAGTTCCTGCAGAATCACAGAATCATGGAATGGTTTGAGTTGGAAGGAACCTTAAAGATCATCTTGTTCCAAACCCTGCCATGGGCAGGGACATCTTCCACTATCCCAGGTGGCTCCAATCTCCATCCAACCTGATCTTGGACACTTGGATCCAGGGGCAACCTGTTCCAGAGCTTCCTGTGAACACACAGAGCTCCCTGTTCCTTCACAGGGAACAATTCCTTCCAAATCTCCCATCTAACCCTGCCCTCTGGCAGTGGGGAGCCATTTCCCCTTGTCCTGCCAGCCCTTGCAAACAGCCTGTCCCCATTTTTTCCTGTTGTCCTCTCCAGGCACTGCAAAGCCACAGCCAGGTCTTCCCAAAGCTGGGCCAACAACACCCAAGAGTCTGAAGAAGCTGAACAATGTCCTGCTCTGGTTCCAACACCCTACAGAGAACAGGTTTGGCTGTCTCAGCCCACACCAGGGTCAATCTGGCTTTAAATGGTGGCTCTCACTGGCACCCCCTTGTCTGTCCTTTGTGCACCCTCAGCAAACCTGCAGCAGGCAGAGATTTCAACAGCACGTGGCTGATTTACCACCTGTTGTAGTGACAGGATCGATTTCTCACAGAATCCTTTGTACAGTGCTCTGAAAGCATTTTGTATTGCATGCCCAAAGTTCCATCCCTCCCTGATTCCTTAGGAGAACCACACAAAGATGTCTGTTCCCATTAAAAAGCTTGAACAATTTCATTTTATACCCTACTATAGAAACTTACAATGTAGCCCCAAAAAGTTACAGGAGTTTTGTAGAGTTCTTGTGGTATTTGAGGTTATAGTGAGTGGTTCAGCATTTGGCACTAGGATGACAAGAAAAAAGAGGTTTAGTCAACACAAAAACACCCCCAGTTTCTAAACTTCAGCCTGAAAACATGAAGGCAGCCTTTGCAAAGCCTCAGAAAGCAGAGGGCAAAAAGAAAAAGCAAGTTTATTTTCCTGAGTGTCTTAATTCCTAAACCAAACTCAAACTTTTAAAGTCTTCCTCATACTTGAATTCCTCAGCATTTTTGTTAATAAATATTTATTCTTTATTATATTTATTATGTAGTAAATTTATTTCTCTATTTTCTGTCTTCCTAGAAAATCCCATTGAGGAATCTGTGCATTTTCAGCTGGTCCACAATCTGTGCTTGTGACCCTCATGCTTTTGGGACACCTGTGTGTTCACAGTGAAATTTGTGCAAAACACCTGGGGAACCCTGATATGTGCAGCCCTAAATTGATATTGAGACAGCATTAGAATTTCTAACTCTAAAAAAAATTAAATATAAATCCCTATTCATTTTTTAATGTTATTGTATTTTGTCCCATAAAAAAATTAAATATTCATTATTTTCTTTGTAGCTATCTAAATTTTTAATTAGATAGCTACAAAGAAAAGAATTAAAAAAAAAAACTTTTAAAATTGCTATACAATTTCTTATAGCAATTTCTTAAATTGCTATACAGTTCTCATATAACATCTTTTGCCATTAAAAAAACCCAATTTCTTTGAGAAATTTCACAAAACAACTTATCAACTGTAATTATTTTAGACTTCAAGATAAGGATTATTTTAATTTAGACTTGAGGATGAGGATTATTGCATAAGTGAAAAGCATTAATTATTAAATTATGACATTAATTATCTCTCTATCCTTGGAATGCCATGATTTCTAAGAGAGACCTGACAGGATTTCCTAAATGAATCCCAATATTCTGCATCCAGCATTTCAGGCCAGCTGAAGGACAGTGTTTATATAAGGATCACTTCAGTCACCACTGAAATGCAGCTGCAGCTCAGCACCAGTCTATAATTGTGCAAATCAGATAAACTGGGAAGTGGAGATTTCCTTTAAGACCAAGTTTTAATTAGCAGATAGATTATTTAATTATTAAAGAGACAAGAGCACACTGTCCTTACCAACTTCTGGGCGCTGGCAATGTCCAACATTGCTCACAACAAAAAACCCTCAATAATCTGAATCTCACATATGGTTTCAAAGGTTTTCTTAATAGGCCATCAGTGTTCATTGGCTATGTGTTATATAGCTCTCTTTTAATTAGTGTTCTGCTGGGTAATTCTCTTGCTATTCATGCTAATTAGTGCCATGCTCAGTGTTTCTTTCCTTTGGGCTGGTGGTTTCTTGCTCCATGGGTATTGGCAGTGGTGATCTCCTCCTGCCACAAAAATGATTCTTCACCCAGCTGATTCAACACTATTACATGGGTTTATTGGCTGTTCCTCATCTTGCATTTCTGCCAGGTGTCTTTGTGGCCCGTCAATTGTGCATTTCCTGTGGCCACCATCACTGGCACATCCCTCTCCCCGAGCTTTGTTAAATTCCCTCTAGGTCTGAGATCATGAAGCATGTCCAGGCCTGACCCTTAACAAGGCAACTCTACCAACAATAACTTCTACCAACAATAACATCACAGAAAATCCTGAAGAGAATTTTGACGTATTCCACGTTTTTCAACAGTACCAACAAAATTAAATTAAACTCAGTTAAAAAATGAATTCGAAATGAATTCATTCACGCATGACGCAGCAGAGGTACAATAGGCAGGACAGGTGAGGTGGGCGCCGTGAGGGCGGCGCTGT